TTTATTTTGGTTTATTTGTGGTTTTGTTTTATTTTTATTTTATTCTGGTTTATTTTGCTTTGGTTATTTCAGTTTATTTTGGGTTTTGTTTAGTTTAATTTAATTTAGACCAGTGAGGCCTAAACCCCAAAAAAATGGGGTGAAATCCAGGATATTGGCCCCATATCCCAGCTGGGTGATGGGGGAGCCCCCAGTGCTCCCAGTTTGTCCCAGATCCCAATCCAGGTGCTTCCCTGGCAGAGCGTGAGGTTGGCATTATTCCCAAAAAATGACAAATCCCAAAGATTTTCGGGGTGGGGTGGATGAGAAAACAGATCCTGCTCCCACTCGGAATTTTGGCTGGGAGGAGTTTGGGATTTGCTCGGGGCTGATGTTTTATCCTAAAAACCGGCTGATATCAGGGCTGGGAGATGCGTTACCAATCCTAAATGGATTTGGAGAGATTACATGCTTTAATAAATCCAATTTTTAAAAAGATCAAGCTATAAAAAAAAAATAAAATTAATTTTCATGCAACATAAGGCCCATAAAAAATAAATAAATAAATAAATAAATAAATAAAAAAGGAAAATCCAGAGCGGCTGAAACAGAGCTCCAATTATCCATGAGATTTTCCCTGAGCCAAAACAACCCCCGTGTGCCTGCTCATTCATGAAAATCCAGCATTCCTGGAGGTCTTTTTTCCCACTTTTTGAGGGAAAAATAAATAGATGTGCTGGGCATGGATGTTTTAAGGGCAGGGAAGGGATTTGGGAATCTGTCTGAAAGGCTGGAAAGGGATTTGGATCGATTTTTGGAGCAGTGGAAGGATCTGTATCCCATTCCCAGGCACATGGAGCTCAGCTGGAGATCCAGGAATGCCAGGAAGATTCCTGCAGAGCAGAGTCAGGGTTTATTTGAGGAACAGGACAGTCAGGAATTGTTTTTCATCATCAGAGAAGCTCGAGGTTTGCTCACTGAGCCTCATGATGGCAGCTGGGCTCCAGGAAAAACAAAAAATTATGGAAGATGCATCGGGAAGGAGGAATTGATCACAGGAGGAGGCAGAACCGCCTGGAATCCTCATGAAAAAAACTCTTTGGAGTCCCCATAAAACATCCCCGGGGAYGGGAGGTGACAAAATGACACCGGAGAGGGGGCAGAGGGGGAATGGCAGCGGGATTTCGTAATGGGGTGAGTCAGAGCTGCAATTCCTGGCGGGAGGAGTGAAGGTCAGGCCGGAGCTGCGAGGGGTTGGTGGATGGAAATCAGCGGAGAGAAGGAGAATCAGAGTCTGGAGGAAAAGAGGACAGAGGAATGAGGAGCTGGGATTGGGGAAAACGCCTGAAAAATGAGCGCTGATTAAACTCAGGGAGAGAGGAGCTGCCCTGAACTTTGTGGATTTCCCGACCAAGATTTTTGGAGGAAGGAATTTCAGGGGGTCTTTTTCTTTTTTTTTTTTTTTTTTTTTACCGTTAATCCCACCCAGAGCAGCAGCCAGATCTTGGCTGTGCTCCTGGAGATTTCCCATCCCTGGAAGTGTCTGAGGAACACAGGGATGTGGCACCGGCCTGGTGACACTGGGGACAGGGCACAGGATGAACTCGATGGTTCTGGAAGGATTTTCCAACCTCAGGGATTTGGGGATACCCAGCAGGTTTGTGGTGCTGGATCTTCGGGGTGGATCTCAGGGATCTCCACCCYGCAGCGACCCCAAATATTCTGTTTGGAAGAACGGGGAGAAATTGTTCCCTGTGAGGGTGGGGAGGCTCTGGCATTGGGATGGAATTCCCAGAGAAGCCTGGAAGTGTCCAATGCCGGGCTGGACAGGGCCTGGAGCATTTTGGGATGGTGGAAGATGTCCCTGCCCATGACAGGGATGGAATTGGATGAATTTTAATCTCCTTTCCAACCCAAACCAGTCTGAAATTCCATGATTCCATGTCTTACGTCAGCTTTAAAACCCCGGAGAAACAAATTCCCTTCATCCAATTTTTTCTCGCCTACAAACGCTCCATTTATATCTAAAAGCACAAAAAAATTCCTCTCCACCTCAGATCTTGCTGTGTGACTGAACAAAGAGGAACAACAACTCAGTTTTCCGGCTTGCAACCGCTTTTCTTCTCGAAATGTTGCCGGAAGAGCCCCAGAAAATCCCTCCAGCCCGGGAAGAGGAGCAGGCAACATTGACATCTGCTGTCGGGAATCTTAATAACCACGGACTCCGGCATTCCCGAGACTCCAAGAGCACGAAAACAGCGAGAGAAAAACCAAAACCAAGAGAATTGCTTGCAGAAAGCTTTATTTAATCATCRTTATCGCGTGCGGTTKGATCCRGGGAAAAAAGGGRAAWGTTTTGGGATCACTGGGGCCAGTTGCAGCAGGAGCAGACGGGGTCRAAGACCAGCCCCTGCTCGCAGCTCTGCATGAAGGTCTGCCCGTTGACGCAGTTGTAGAAGTTCTTGTTGTTGTTGGGGTCGGCGTAGATCCCGTTGGGTTTCCC